GCTGTTCCGCGACGAAAACAAGCTTGAGCAACGGCGATATCGAATGGTGCACACTCAGTAAGTTATCGTACAATTTTTTGTTTATAGTGTAGTTTATGCGGATTATTCCCAAAAAATATATACGTATTTTGGAAATGTTGAGTCGGATTAGTCTAGAATCGATTAATTTTATGGAAGAAAACCTTTCAAACAGCCGTAGTCCGTAAACTTTACACGTGTCGGGCTGTGATTGGCTGTGACTCCTACGAAATTGATTCATAAAGAACGGAACCTATCTACCGTCTTATAGGGGGATCTACTGTATAAATATCTATGGTACTTTGGTACTCAGGTAAATTGCGCATATATCGTCACCTTTGCCTGAGAATTACTATAATGCGTATTTTTCTGTGTGGATAATTTTCTATGTAGGCATTTTCTGTGTGAGCTATTTACCGTGCGCTCATTTTTTTTGTGTACGTATATATGACAGTGGTTTTTTTTCCCTGTGTGCCATTTCCTCTCAGAAAAAAACGCAAGTGTAAAAACTCTCTGGCTTTTTGGTAACTACAGAAAACACCTTACACACAGTGGAGTAGCGTTGGTGTCAGCCGCCCGGAGCGGAGGAAAATTTCGCCGCCCCCTTATTTAAGTATCTCAATTTAAAAGACTAAAATTCAGTTTCGTCACAGAATAAGTAATGAAAAATTCCGTGCTCATTTCAATCGGTCCGAATCGTAAGTGCAACAAAAATATGAAATAAAATGGTTTAAATTTTTACAAGATATTATTATTATTTATTGTGAAATTTTGCCGCCCCACTACGCTACGCCACTGCTTACACATTATAATAATTATTCCTATCTTTGGTAGAGTCTTCAAAAGTATTATCCATAGCGTAGAGCCTAGCCAGTTAAACAACCCCTCTTTTCAATGTTCCTACTTTACTGATTAGCCGGCGTTACTGCTTCCTGTGAGTGACTATAGATTTTACACGGGGCGCAATAGTCTGTGTAACTTAGGCCAACGACAACAAGACAAGAGATTTTAAGTGATTTGCAATTTCCAACCTCACTTTTCTCGTTTAATTTTCAATATTGCTCTTTACTGCTTGACACATGTCAGCCGTTGAGAATGCACTATAAACCTTACCGAGTTTGATCAAAATCGGTGACCTCAATGTCATGCCATCCCCTCGTTCGTAAATTTGTTCACAATCATTTTCAATGCTACCTTTAGCTTGGATCAATGTATCATTAATTTAATATTGTTAATCATTATATTGTGATTTAGACACAGAATAAACCATTCTATTAGCTTCGGCAGGCCATTTTTATATATCGACTCTATATAATGAAATCACGTACTTCTTCTAGACTCCAGTGGTTCCCAACCTGTGCAACCTGTGTCGCCGCTCGAGGAAAATAAAATAAATAAAAATTGAACAAAATTAAAGAAAAAGAAACAATTTGTCAAGTTAAATTTCATATTGCTGCCTTTCTCAATTACTGTACATATCTTTGTGAATTAGGATTCTTCGCCTATACAAGTACCAAAAACAAAATACAGAAGAAGCTTAAATGCAAAACCAGACATTCGCAATCATCATTAATTGAACCTAAAATAAGAAAACTGTGCAAAAATGCAAACACAGGTGTCTCATTAAACGTGATTTCATGTTATGTCTTAATTTAGGCTCCTCCTAAGGTTGAGAACCGCTATTGCAATAGTTCCCAACCTTTTTCGGGTGGTGATCCCTTTTTATAAAAGCCAAGTGACCCGCGACCCCGATACAATTGAAAAAAGCATTTTTAATAAGGTAATTAAAAAAACCATAGGTTGGGAACCCGTGCTATAGAGGAAAAAAGAAGCAATGTCGTTAAATCACATGACAGTCGTAGCCAATCACCGTGACGATTCATTCTTACTTCTAAGCGCATGTGTATTCCATCCACTCAATTCAAGAACAAAAGAATTTTACTACAGCTATTGTTTAATTGCTTTCGGTTATTGTGTAACAATACACAAATTATTCGGAACAAAAATATTATTACCGAACATTGAAATTGAAGATAGGCTATATTTACTAAGTCGTAATACCGAGCGAATATAGTAATATAGCAGAGAGGCATTGTTCAATACATGGATATAAAAGAAAACAGAATTAACAATTTCAATCAAATGACGTTTTGCGAAAAACGTATTCATCCGGAAGAAAAACTGTTGAGAAATCGAGGATTTGTATTGGGTAAGAAACTCGATTCCGGGACTTTTTCCACGGTAAGATTAGCCGAAAGAATAACCAGTTCTTGCAATAGTAAAATGGCTGTTAAAATCATAAATCGTTCAAAAGCATTGAAGGTCTTCGTTGAAAAGTTCTTACCGAGAGAATTACAAATTCTTTCTTCTCTAAAACATCACAACATAGTTCAGGTTTATTCTATATTTCATCTGAAAGAGAACACTTATATATTCATGGAATATGCACCAAATGGTGATATTACTACGTACGTACAGAACAATGGAGCTTTATCTGAATCGCTAGCTAAGAAATGGTTCGTCCAAATTTTAGAAGCGCTACGTTATTGCCATCGTAAAGACATCGCCCATAGAGATCTCAAGTGCGACAACATTCTACTCGATATCTACATGAACGCAAAATTGGCCGACTTTGGTTTCGCTCGACACTGTACTGATTTAGCAACGCAGAAGCAAATATTCAGCGAAACTTACTGCGGAAGTGTGGCTTACGTAGCACCCGAAGTAATTATAGGCAAACCTTACGACCCGAAGCTTTCTGATATTTGGAGTTTAGGCATTTGTCTTTACGTTATGATGAATAACGCCATGCCTTTCAACGATAAAAATGTCAAAAAAATGCTGCGAAACCAAATAGCTAATAAATGGCAATTTCGTTCAAACTTGAATCTGAGTATTAATGTAAAAGAATTAATTAAAAGTATTTTACAACCTTACAGTATTCGAAGACCTTCTTTGAGAACAATCGCTCATCATCCGTGGATTATCGAAAATATTCATTCTGGACATGCATAATAATAATGATTTAATAAGATGTAAAAAAAAACTATATAATTTTTGTACATCTAAACATTTTTCAATTTCACATACTTTAGAAAAAAAATCTTAAAACACAAAATCTCTTTAATGGCATATTGTTTTTAGAAATTAATCTGAATTTTTTGATAAATTGTCATATCTTTACTTTGATTAAAAATGATTTAATAACTTTAATTGTATTAATTTTATTAAATATTATTCTAAAAAATAAAAATTGTTTTTGAGTTATACATTCTTACCCCCACTCACACAATAGTAAAAATTTATTGGGACCTCTTTCACTGAAACATTTACAACACTGAAGAACTGTCGCACGTGTTCTCTCGGTTATTGTGCTATTTCATTATACAGAACAATCGTAAACACTCAGCATGGGACCACACCCTTCTGGCTCCGCCGACTGGTGAGATCACAGCTTACACTACACAACTTTCTTGAAATTTACATATAGATATATTTTCTAAATGATAGTGGTTTTTTTCCAACTCTCCGTCACGCAGGCACTAGAATGCCCTTTTTCGGGTCGTCTTAACAGCATTATAGGCCCCTGGGCAGAACAGTGCACTAGGCCCTGCCCACACAACCGGCGAGTAATCGGAAAATTAGCATTAAATTTTAGTCTGTGCATAAATTAACATGGGGCCTCCGGACAACTGCACGGCGTGCCCATGCGTTAAAGATGGCACCGTTTCCACGGCTGTCATGAATTCGACCAGGTTGAGGTGGGATAACAAGAAAAATTACTGCCAATTCCACGAATATAGAATGGAAGCGGCTGGACGGTAAGAAAGGACATATATTTTATTATAACAATCTCAAAGCTATTCTCTCATTCTAAATCATTAACTCATTCTAAAATGACTTCGATATGTAAAATTATTATACGTCGGTATAACAAATTCCGAATACATTTTAACGGAAGATAGCGATCCATTTCGTTGATTACAATTAATAATTGCTTCATTAATTTCATCACGACCGGACGCAGCTTACATTTGAATAATTGTATTGGTTACTTCATCCTTTTCGACCATCCGACCAATTCGCTTGCGACAATTGTTGTAATCATAATTTTAACTACGTCCACCATTTTGCTTAATATGGTTTGTAAACTTTCGTGATCCAGCCTGTTTTGACAGCCATTATTAGTTTGTAGATTGGTACAGAGTGGCTATAGCGCACAGATTTCTTTACATCTGAATCTGACATGGAGCATTTTGTTTAAATTTTACAAAAAAACAAAAAATCATGTTTTTGAAGTTTTTTTAACCTCTTTCTACCCTGTGGACACTAAGAAAGGTCACTCATTTAGCAAGCCCATTGTGGATTCGGCCAGGCCCACAATAGAGAGGCCGGGTAGTGAAGGACGGGGTCCGACATCTCCGGACGGACCACCACCCGAAAAATTTCTGGGGCTTTTTCGATCCGTCCGGATTCGATCCCGGGTCACACAGGCTGCCACCTTCGCCGCTCGGCCATTTGGCCGTCATATTTTTGAAGTTAGAAATAGAGTTGCCAACTCGTCCGGATTCTTGGGGACACTCCCGGAATTTGGCAAAAATTTTTAAATTCTCGGACTCCTAAATCGGGGCTATTTCTCCTCATTTACTGGACACGAATATCAATAGACAAGGTTACAAATTATAATAAAGCATGATACTAAGATACTAAACAATAGGCGACAGCATATTGATATTAAGAGTTGAAAACATCAAATCTCCTAAAATTTTCTATTCCTGTAATGACGGGCTCCTGGAGTCTGTCATTACAGGAATAGAAAATTTGGGGAGATTTGATGTTTATAAAATTTACATATAGAAAATTTACAGGAATAGAAAATTACTCTTCGAGAGTTGGCAAGCTCAGGGATCTTCCATTAATTATGTGTATAGTCAGGGCCGGATTAACCCACTTTGGGGCCCTAGACATTTTCTTCTTCCGGGTCCCCTCCCGGCTCTTTCAATTAATAAATCTTGTTACTATTATTTATATTAAATTTCATACGGACACTGCAGCTGCTTTATAAAAAATAAAAGCAAAATTATTTAACAATATTTCACAGGATTTAAGAATACATATCTAATATATAATCGAGACGGGTTGATGATAATGATAATAATAATCAGCGCAGAGCCCAAACGGTTAGGAGTTGAAAGTTGAAATTTGGTACACAGATAGGGTACGTCAGAAAACGCACACTAAGAAGGGGTTTTTCGAAATTCCCCCGGGGGGAGAGAGATAGGATTAAAACTTTTATATGGATACGAGCTCAAACGGTTAGGAGTTGAAAGTTGAAATTTGGTAGACAGTTAGGGTACGTTAGGAGAACGCACACTAAGAAGGGATTTTTCGAAATTCCTCCCCACGGGGGAGAGGGACAGGATTAAGGCTTAACGCTTCCATCAACAATGGAAGTGTTAAGTAACAATGGAAGTGCTAAGTAACAATGGAAGTGTTAAGTAACAATGGAAGTGTTAAGTAACAATAACAGTTTTAAGTAACAATGGAAGTGTCAACAATGGAATTGTTAAGAGAAAGCGACATGCAAGACGCAGATGCAGTTTTTTTCGTTTTTGCGGGAAATCGAACATATTTTTAGACCCATCTAAAAATTTTCTAATTAGTCTGGAAACAAGGGGACCCAATTCTTGCATTCTGTGAAAACTGGTAAGGTTGACTGTAACATAATAATCTTTATCTTAGTTATCGTTACTTTTGCCCGAGCAACGCCGGGCCCACCTGCTAGTAGTTAATATTATTCTTATCGCTATAAAGAATATTCTAAATTATTGGGAGTTTTACATTCAATAAGAAGAAACATAAGAATACGAGGGTTGTTCTAGACGTTTGTCTCATTTATCTATCCCTAGACGTTTGTCTCATTTATCTATCCCTAGACATTTGTCTCATTTATCTATGCGATGATCCGGCCCTGTGTATAGTTTAAGGAAGGGAGGAGGTTTGGTTGCCGACTTTCGGAGTAACAAATTCCGAACACATTGTGGAAAAAACACTACCGTAACTTAAAAAAATCAAGCAAAGAATTGCATAACTTTCCTGGCTGCTAGGACATTTTATTTAAAATAAAACTTTTATGTTTCTAATCATAATAAATAAAATTACGTATATCGCTATATGCTATGATTTTATTATAAAAACTTTTTATATTATTAATTTTTATAAAATGGCAAAAAGTTTAATTTTAAGAGAAGTCAGAAGTTTTATTAAAAGAAAAAAAATGTAAATGCTAATAACAGTAAAATCTTCTCCCCTCTCGAGATATGACGCTTGATCCTGCTGTATCTCCTCACACCCGCAACCTCTAATCATCAAAATTTAGTAGCATCAATACACCTTAAAAAAAGCTACCATGCCATTTCGTTTTTTAATCATTGCGGCCTTGGTGAAGGCCGAAACATTCGGCGTTTTCGTTAAAGTTCTGTTACTGGTATTTAAAGGTTTTGTTTTTATTTGATTTTATTTGAAATCGTTTCTTTTAAAGATCGTTCGAAACGTCGAATTCCGTCATTCTGCTTCTGCTTCGAAGTAAAACGTGGCCATAAACTATCGTCGGGAAACGAAAGAAGAAACTCGAGCCCCCGAGTTGAAGAAAATGACTCCTTCCGATCGAGAAATACTTAGGAGATTAAAAGATATCTTCAATGACGCTAGCAGAAAGATACAAAAGGATATCCAAGAAAACGTAGAGGAAGCAAGATAGCTGCAACACAAAAAATCATCTAACAAGTAAGAAGAGATCGAAGACCAGCAAAGCCAGGAGGCGATTCAAATTAAAAAGGACGAGGAGGAGTGAGAAAAGGGGGAGATGTCGTAGAAGGAGATGAAGTGGAAGCAGAAAGAAAACTTCAACGAAAACCGGAAACGGAATTGCTAGATTAATCTAGCAAACAAACGGCTCCTTTTCAGAGCCATTAAGCAGACTCGACAGTTCCAGAGCTGTCGAGTAATTTCCTCCTAAACGCCCTCTACGGTAGCTGTCTTTCGGAACATGTTTGGTGTTTTGACGTCACATTTGGTAGCGTCTTTCCTATCGCTAGCTGAAACTGACCAATGAGACTGTTTGTTCCAACGAACGTCACTCATCGTTCAGAAGATGCATCTACGTAACAGCTACCGATTTGCTCAGTTATAACTGTTGAGTCAGCTGATGCAGTCTGTGATCTTGAGAAGAAGAGTCTACGATCAAAGGACTTTTGGACCATGGCCACACTGTTCCACGTGTTGTAGCTTAGGAAGATTGGTCGTATATAATTTTTAAGATAAGAAAAAAATATGAAAATTACAGTAAGCAAATTTATTAGAAAAAATATAAAAAATTACGTTATTATTATAGGCAAGATGTAACAGATCTTTAAAACTATATTTTGATATTTAAATACTTATATTTTATGATAACAGATTGATTCAAATCTTGTTTGTGGTTATTATTATCTTTATTATTATTATATGTATATTTTATTATATCAAATTACTTAATACTATTCTTCTATTATTTTTGATGGGATAAGGCAATGCAATAAAAGGGAGTCATCTTGGAGGGGTTTCCTGTGGAAAACTGGCTTCCGTTTAGTGAAGAAAATAGAAAAAACCCCACTTGGCCAATCTGTTGGCGATGTTTGGTTGGTCCAAACTTTTCTATTGTTAAGAAAAACATTTTCTTCCCAAAATGTACAGAAACTTCAGTCTATCTTTTACAGTACCGTTGAATATTTAAAAGAATGTGGCAACATTTCCAAGAGTACCAGTACTGGTTTGTGGCATTTGTTGACAGAAAACTTAAAAACTATAATACAAAGTTGCAAAAAAGTAATAAATTTCTAATAAAAATAAATTTGATGTTCTTAACATTTTAAATGAAATATCTTATAATAATGTGTAGCAGTCACAAACCTGATAAATTCTCCTATAATAGCTAGATGAAGTATAATGTCTGGTTCACTATTCTGCAGGACTTCTTACTGGTTTTTTTTATTTCTAAATTTAATTGTTAAACAACACAATTTGTCATACTATTTCAATCCTTTACTTGCCAGAATGTAAAACTTTTTTTACATTTTGGACTATTGTCCATTATCAGCTGGCCTATAACAATCTTCACGAATGTTTTCAACCTCCACTGAGGTCTGCTTCAGGTGGTGACTAAATGGTGTCTCCTCTTGACCGTGAAGATTCATGAAACGTTCGTGAAGATTGTTATAGGACACAACACTATTATAAAAAGGTTTCGTGGATTGTTGTTACTCAACGCAGTGTTAGGATTAGTAGTCGTTTTGTGTTAAATTAATTTAATAATAATCTCAAATAACCAGTTGGTAGAGAAATGAGGCTTATCAAACTGCAATGAAGCCAAGTAATTGAGATCACATCAAGAAATTAAGACTTGTTTGTCTAATGCATTTCGGACTTCACTAGACTCCCTCGGCCACAATTATATGATTGTGATCTCGATTACTTGGCTCCATTGCAGTTTGATAAGTCTCATATCCCTAGCAACTGGTTATTTGAGATAATTATCAATACTAAATCCATCTTGATTTTCTATTTTTTCAATGTTGGATACCAATGTTGGATTTCATTCTTTTTTCATTTTCATACTATGATTATTATTCATTAAAATATTAAAAAATAAAATTATCTTCAAATGTTTCTATAGTTGTCTCTTAAATGTGTTATGTGTTAATTTTAAAATCTTTACAGTATTCAAATTGATTTCACAATCCTCATTACAATGAATTGCCACCACAGAGTTTTGGTAAGAATACTTAATCACTCTTGTATGCTCTTTCACACTTGCACCCAACCTTATTCCTATTCCCCTTATATAGGTACTGTACATAGATTTCTACATGTACAGTTAAAACTATACACTACATTTACTTTGTCTAACACTTTGCAGAAAAATGAACTGAAGAGGTTAATTATTAAAAAAAAAAAAGATCTGTTTTTGTTTTGTTTTGTTCTAACAAGAAAAGTTTGGAAAAACTGTTAGATGGTTAACTCATTTCATGAAGAAAACTGTCACTTAAAACTTGTTAAATTAGAATTAAAGACACTAAACCTACAAACCAGCAAATTTTATAACAAATACAAATGTTTTTGCCTGTGTTGAATGGGCATTATCAGGATTTATAGGTTAGTGTGTTTAACTCATTTTGTACTTATCATTATCAATAATTCAGTTATCAAAAAACTTCTTATAAACATTCATAAAGAATGTTCAAAAAGTTTAATGTCTATATATTAAAGTATGAAGATATACTGTGCCCATTTTTTAAAAGTAACTGATTTTCTTAACTGAATGTGCTGTCCAACATCTATAAACTGTTTTTAGTAATTAAGTACTACAAAAAAATATTTCTTTGTGAAATAGAAATATATGTAATAATTTTTTACTTTATACAAACATTTTAATAAAAATAATTGATTTTATTACAATTTCATACAAATTTATATATCAGTTCCATACACAGAAAGCTAGAACTTTTTTAAATAAGTTTCACAAAACCTTTTTACTCATTTTCTAGCAGTTTCTTGAGAGAACAAATGTTTTTGGCTGTTAAACATGGCCAAAACTTATTTATATATCAGTTTATATCTATTAAATTCAGAGATAGATAATGTGGTATCTTTGAAATACCCCAAGTTACGTAAGTAATGCGGACCATAGACCTTTACATAAGTCAAATTTATAAATTGTTTAAGTGTAACTACGTAATTAATAACTCAATACTGTATTTATTGTTATATGTGTATTGTACATATATTATTTTTTTGTATAAAAGAACAATAGAAATACAAAGTACATATATAAATGAAACAAAGAATTTTTAAAAATTTTTCTTCTAAACTAATTGCAGATCTTTGTTTTTTTTGGTTTATTACCAATAAATTTGGTTTGTCATTTTGATTGCATTTTAATAATACAGTTCTGTAAATAAACAATGAACACTATGTAAATGGAGTGGTGGTAAACAGGTTAATGTTATAAAATCGACAATTGAAAATATCACCTCATTTGGAGCTGATATTTGATAATGCACCGGTCAATTTTGGATGTAAATGTTTGGTTTTTACGAAATTAAAAACAATTAACAATAATTTAATAAAAGCTAATTGTAACTGTCATATTCTCTATAATACTGCTAAATATGCATTAAAAACAATGAAATATGATGTGGAAAGTTTAGTATTAAAAGCCTATAGCATATTTTCATCAAGTACCTGCAACATCAAAGAATTAAGAAATTGTTTTGATTTCCTGGAAGTCATACTATGAAACCTTGAAGCATATTTCTACATACTTGAAGCATTCTACTACTAGATGGGTAAGCTTATATAAAGCTATTGATAGGTTACTGAAAAATTAGTCCGATATTACCCTTTATTTTCTAAATCAGGGAGAAGAAGAATGTAATCCTACAACCTGGAAATTTGTGCAAGATCATGAAAATAGTATTAACAATGAATAATTCTTACCAGAACTGATGTTATATTTCGTACATTCCTTTTTACATATTTTCCAAAAATATATATTAATTTTTGAAGGAGAAAACATTGACGTCACTGAATTACATAATGTTTTTACAGATATTAGAAATTATATAGTGCAGAGAAAAGAACAGTGTTTTTACAGTTTTATAGTTAATCAGGCTCTTCTGGATTTTCCTGAGAATAAGAAAAAAATATTCAAACAAGAAGCCGATAAGGTGTATTCACAAGCATTGAAATATTTAAATGACTACTATTATTTTGAAAATGCATTTTTTTTAGTTCAAAAATTTAATTTAAAAAATAATGTTCCAACTATACAAGACTGCTGTGAACTTGATAAATATATAAACAAAATTGACTTCAAAGTAAAAGGTGATGATGTTTTTAATGAACTTAGCACAATAAAGGAAAGAGTAGGAATTTGAAGAAAAAGTTAAAAGCAGAAAAAAATAATTCACAGTTATGGGCATTTACATTAAAAAAAGGAAATTTTCAAAATGTTCAGAGGATAATCAGATTTATATTTAGCATTCCAATTTCTAATGAATATGTTGAAAGATGTTTCTCTTCAATGAATAACTTATGGTGGGATAAATGAAACAGATTAACATCGGAGAATGTTAAAGCTGAACTTATCAGCACAAAACCTTTCTCACTAATTTCTAGCCTTATTAACAAGAGTACCTGTTGTGGTTGTGCATCTCCTGTACATAGTGTGCTTACTCTAAAACCTTTTCTCCCCAACTTTAGCAAGTATCCTATCTGCACACCTCCCTTCTTTACCAAAAGTATGTTATTTTTTCCCCCAACTTTAGCAAGTATCCTATCTGCACACCTCCCTTCTTTACCAAAAGTATGTATTTTTCGCCCTCGGTATCGTATACCTATCATCGATGATGACGTCACTACTAAGACGATACATGGGTAAACATTGGCAGCATTTAAACTTCTTCTAACCGACGCTCCACAGTGTACCCGAGGAAGGCCTATTAAGAAGGCCGAAAACGTTTGTACTCTTGTTAATAAGGCTAGAAATTAGTGAGAAAGGTTTTGTGCTAATAATCTTAGAAATAGTTCTAGCTACATATGCATAGTAGTGTAAAGCTGAACTACTAATTTGCAGTAACATAAAAATTAAATGTAAAAATTTTTACGAAGAAATAATAAAAAATAAAAAAACTTATAGAAGCAAATATGACGTACCAAACCTATAACCGATGCATATCTAATTGTACATTCAACTTCAAACATTTTCTTAACCCCTTCTGGGTTCTTCTTCAGGTGAAAAGCTGGATCAAACACCAAACAAGGAACCGCAATTAGATACACATCGGTTATAGGTTCGGTATGTCATATTTACTTTATACATCCTGGTGTGCAGTTGCTGTTATATACTTCTAGAAGCAGCTAGGAGCAACCAAAAATACGCTTTTAAGGTGGTAAATAAAAAATAATGTAATTTAGTACTTATTTTTATATAATTTTTCTTAATTATTTTCATGTAGTTTATTATTATATGTAATCATTACTCGTGTTACTTTTCAAACTTTTATACTGTATTTATATTATATATTGTATATTTTGTAACTTAAATTAAATTAATAATAATGTTGGTATGTGTTATTTATTATTCTTACTTTTATCTATTATTTTTGCAATTAATATCAACATCGGACTGTTATTAATTATTTTTGAATATGACACATGTGATTATTGTATTACTTTAATAATTTAACAAAAAAAAAAAAAAAAAAAAAAAAAAAAAAAAAAAAAAAAAAAAAAAAAAAAAAAAAAAAAAAAAAAAAAAAAAAAAAAAAAAAAAAAAAAAAAAAAAAAAAAAAAAAAAAAAAAAAAAAAAAAAAAAAAAAAAAAAAAAAAAAAAAAAAAAAAAAAAAAAAAAAAAAAAAAAAAAAAAAAAAAAAAAAAAAAAAAAAAAAAAAAAAAAAAAAAAAAAAAAAAAAAAAAAAAAAAAAAAAAAAAAAAAAANTAATATATATATTCTTTACAGATTATTATTCTTAGACTATAAACTACTATTATTTTTATTGTATCTTTGAGAAATGACATGTAATGTAAATTCATATAAATGTGAGAGACCAGCATGCCAGAAACTCTGGTGTTACCGGGATGTTGGTTTTTACCATAAGGAATAATTTGATTTCCTGGTCTACCTCGGATACTGTTATGCCGATCATTCTGCAAAAATACAGCAATTTGTAATGATGTGGGTCACAGATTACCTGGACACTTGTTGAAACTTCTGCAATATTTCCAGTCAGTGGCCAAGACAGTTAAGGCAGCATCCTATGCTTTGGGAGATCCAGAATCAAACCTGGACAGTTGAAAATCCTCAGGAAGCTTTTGAGGATGGTTTGTCCTGGATATGTCAGGTTCTGTCCCTCGGCCACTCTATTTTTGGCTTGGTCGAGCTCATAATGGCCCTGGGAGAAAAAAGGCTGTGTCCACAGGCAGAAAGAAGGGCAAGCCCCATTGCAATAAAAACTTTTTAATTAATGATAGAATAAGTTGTAATAGAATTTTTATGTTAATCCTTAGAATTCAACTAAATAAACTTAATAAGTACAAACTTTTATTTAGATAGCAGATTTCAGAAACAAACAATTTTTTTTTTTTAATAGGTTCTTGAAGCTTAAGGGATTAGGAAGATTTTTACAGCCTACTTTGATCTACTTTGGCATTATATGAAAAGTAAGAAAAGAATTTTAAAATAATTTAATAATAATAGTACATTTGAAAAATTATATTTTTAAGTATTTTAAGTAGAATTTACATAATAATAAAACAAACACAAATTTAAACTCTAATTAATGTTCAGATCTCAAATATAGAATGATCAGACTAGATATTAGTAACATTGATATAGTGTTATAATATATGGCAGTGTTCATTTGGGTTGACTCTTGGAATTAAATGATTTTATTACCATACAAAAGTACATTTAGTGTTCACCATACTAGCAAATTTTCAGATGCAGAGGATAATCCATTACAGACATCAAAATACAAAATATAATTGAGGCCTATTTTTGCAAAAACAGCATATGTCAAAAAACATAAATGTTAAGAAAATTGCAAAACTATTTCTATTAAAATGCATTAAACAAGGACATCTTTTGCACCTATTTGCCAAAACAGTGATATATTCCAAAAGTTTTGGTGTATTTCCAGAATATTGTTTTTGACATGACCCAAGAAAAATTAAATTTTTGAAAACTGACATATGCTGTTCTTTCTAGAAACTTTATTCCCATGGTTCTTTTTACATGAAAAAGTTTGTAGCCACTGCTGTTATCTTCCTCTGCAATGTCCACATATTGTTTATCATCTACAATACTTGACAGATTTTTTGTAGAACTTCTTATTCTCTGCCTACTATAGGAAAACTGACAACTTCAGGCAGTCCACGAGTTTCTTTTCCTGTATAAGTATTAGATCTTTGTAGGCTTGTGGCAGTTTCAATGCATTGATCCACTTCCTGGTGCTTCTAATCAGAATATTTTTTTGTATGGCCTAGATCAGGCCTGGCCAACACTCAGCCCATCACATTAAATTGTGTGGCCCGCTAAGCGATTTTATATATCTATTAAAACTTTTGTTTCTCGTTATGTGTATACTAAAAAAATTAAACAAATGAAAATTTGCATGTGTCATTGTTACAGTGCACAAGTGCGACTATGAACACCAGTTCTATATTTGATACTTGTGAATCTTTGTCCCAGATGGTGGTGCTGCCCTGGTGACCAACGTCTCAACTAGTACCTGTATCCCCTAAAGTGTGGCCCACTGTAATGTTATGCATCATCAAAGTGGCCTGTGAAACAATTTGGGTCGGCCAGAGCTGGTCTAGATTATATGTCACAAATTTGGAAAGCCTGTTTATCTTTAGTGACTTTTATAATCATTGCTGATTTGAGATTTAAAAGTTAAATCTCAAATCTTTCAAAAAGTGAGAGATAGATACTTACCTGTAATCAGGAACCATGACATACTTTCCTATTTCCTTCTTTTTGTGATTTGTGGGGTTAATTCCATTAACTTTAACCTCTCAAATAACATCATCATCATCTTTTTCCTGGTTACAAAACCAACTAATATAGGATATCTTCAAATGATGTTGAGGTTACTGAGATCCAGAATACCTTTCAATGTAGTTGGCCATCTTGTAAGTCAACCTTTCTCACAAAAACTAGTAATTGTCAGAGACATCTGTTGTTTTTGCAAAAAATGCTCAATTGAAGTAATGTTGTGTTACATTACAGCTGCATTATGAGGTTTTCAAAGAAGTTTACAATGGTGATATTCAGATGAATGAATGTAGTGGAGAATGTATTAACATGACAAAAGTTACATTTCACTTGACAAGATGTGTGAAATTGTTGCTTATTGGCGTGATTGCAAATTTAGCTTCACCGTTCAGAACAATCAATAAACAAAACTTTCATGGATTAATGAAGTTGACTACTCAACTGTTCAATATGGAGAAGAAAGTCAACATTAGAGGAAATGTCAGATACAAATGCAAATCTATTTCACAGTAAATGTTGCAGCAGTTCAATAACACAAGAAAAACACTGGCATCATTGTAAAGGAACACAACCTTCAAATTTGGTCATTATGTAATGCTAAAGCTATGTGTCTAGACATTTTCAAGGCATGACATGGTTGGATTCATGCTTTCAACAAAAAGTTTCACATTGTGTCCTATAAAATCAACTTCACATCATCACTGGCTCATGTTGAAAATTTGAAACAAATTGAAAATGATGCAATCAACTTTGTTCATACCCAGAATCCTGGTTTGTAGTTATTCAGCATGTGTCAAAATGGCATCTTATCAGAGGTGTTTTGGACACACTCAAATATTAAGATATTCAAGTAATTTACAGTTGGTAAATGCTATCACACTCATTTATGATTCAGGTTGTGATACTGGCAAACACCTTCCAGTTATGTATATTGCTTGTTTAAAATATACAGCTAACTTGAGCATAAAGTCCAATGCCAAATGTTCAAAAACCCTTTAGTTGTTATATGGTTGTATTTTGAAAAACTCAGCAAAAACAAAGTGAAATATTTTCTTCTTTGTGATTACTAGTATTACTACAGTAAGATCCTACTTAACGCTGATTCGATATAACACAGTTTGCTCAAAGCCTTAAAGCTCAAAATTTACGCCAATTTAAATTATCGCGTCATTTCATTTATTCGTATATAATACGATTATTTATGAACTCGAACCAATCAGAAAAATGTGGCAAAAAGGTGTACTTTCTTTAAATCTGTTTGTTTGGTGCAATTTTGGAAAAAATATAACATCATGGATGCCATAGGCAATTTAAGCTTTGCTTGACAAGAACTAACTAATAAATGCACGAACAGTGTGTGGAAGAAATTATGATTGAAGGTATCCAAGAATTATCAACAAGAAGAGACTATTGCTGTATTGTTAGGTTGGCCAAGTTGTCAACCTAATAGATATAGCAGGACTAGGAGATATAGACGAGCAGGATATTGAGGAGTTATCGCAGGTTTCTGGTGAGAGCCTTACCAATGACGACCTTCAAGAACTGGCAGAACAAGGAATTCATGTAGAACTGGAAAATAGAGATTCTGAAAATGAAGAACCCAAAAACTTTCTCTACAGATTTCCTTAGTAAAAATTTGGTAATGATAACTGAAATCATTGATCAAATTGTAGCGAACGATCTAGATTTTGAAAGGAGTGCAAAAGCAAAACGAGGTGTTTTGGATGCGATCTTCAGCTACCAACATTTGCTTAAGGAAAGAAAAAAGCAGCAAATGAAACTTCACAACTTCATTGCAAAAAATAGAAAAGTCAGAACCTTCATCACAAAAAATGAACTTACATTTCTGTGTGCATATGTATTCTTCAGTTGAGAGTTCTTGGAGTTCTTCTGTCGTCAGATCAGTTTCAGGTTCCATTATGAGCTCTAAAATGCTCTTTATTTCTCAGATGTGATTTTCATTACTCCATTAGTAGCTTGAGACTTCTTGATATATCTTTCATAGCTAAGATTGTGCCTACTGTAGACCTGTTCAAGCCATACTGCCCAGCAACATCAGACATCTTGTGCTCACTTTCTACCTTGGCTATTATCTCTTACTCAGTTTCTACGGTGAGCACAGTTCTTGACACTCCTCTTTTTAGGCTTCATAATATTATCAGTTTCTTTTTTAAATAAAAGGTTCAGATCACTTACAAAAATTCAGAGAACACAAATCAACTAGCCCACAAAAAATTTTTTAAATGCAAGGCCCAGATGAAATTCAAAATTTAGTATTAAAACGTTAATGAATATCCGATGGGACAATTAAACTTTCACCTTTCGTAAATAAACCATGACACAAAACTTAACAAGTGCCCGACTGACAGTCTCTTGAAGACTATAAAAAATTATTTGTCAGAAAAGTAAACAAAAAGCTAGAATTACAAGGGAGAGTTTCAAAATTCAAAGGAATACTATCTGATCGGTATCGGGTTGAGGGTCGATGTTGATGTCTCCCATGCTCCAAAAGGTTTCGAATTGTTACCTGAAGACAAGGGAAAATCAATTGGTATTCGTTATTTTCTATTGTTTCTTTTTATGTTTGTTCAGTAAAGTGTTTGTTATCCAAACATGTGTTCATTGTCCAATCATAAAAATCTTTCGCGAAAGTGTTCGTTATCCAATTTGTTAGCTGTCCAAACTGTTCATTAACTGATCACCCACTGTATTTAAATTATTAAAATAACTTTTCGTGAAAGGCAAGTATGTTGCCATCCATTAATTTTATTGAAGTGAAACTTGAGGTTTGTAACAGGATCCCATTTAGCATGACATTATTTATCCATAATCTTTATATATTATTTTATTAATAAAATTGATATACATCTGAATATATTCAAATATTGAAATTGGCAATGCACTTTCATATTAGATAATGTCCGGAGTCATGTATCCAAATCAATTTCAATTTTTTTTTTTTTTTGCTTCTTTGTCTCAGAATAATTTCTACTAAAATATACAAAATTATTAAAGTTAACAATAGCAGACTCATGAAATATTATACTAATAATTTAAATAAATTAATATCCAACAGAAGAAACCTAGAATTTCAGTGATTGTTAGTTTGATATTCAAAACACTAACATTTATTTTGTTAGAAAATTTGAATTTAATATTTATGAAATTTGAAATTTTCTTGTGATTGATGTTTATATTGTACAATTAGTTTGATTATCCATATATTAATTGAAAGAGGGCTTTAGTTTGTTTGACTTGATTTGATAAACAGCTGTTGCAAAAAATATGGTTCAGGTATCAAATTTAGGCTCTTAACCTATAGATGATGATGCTGAAGAGAGACTTGAGAAAGGTGTAATAGTTTAGGAATGGCTGAGTAGTTAAGTTTGAGACAAACAGGTTGGGGCACTCCATGTTAACTTTAGCTCAAGCAAATTTTTGTGTTTTGCATTTTCATTATTGCAAGTACTGAGGTAAATATGAGGGCTATTTTTTAAATAAGGTCTGTTTGTGAATGAGAGTGAGAATGATGTGCGATTGCAGCAGTGTACATGAGCATCTGCTTTCAGCATGCTTTGCATGTGTTTAGATGCCATTTGCAGCCGTATTGCCTGTCTGTGTGCTGAACTGTAGAAGTTTATAATGTTTAAGAAAATTGAGTCACCCACTGACTGTAAGATACAATCTGTTATTCGATTTCAGCATGAAAGATCATGGTAACTGTCTTTTGGGACAGGAAAGGGACTTTGTTAGTGGATTTTATGCCAAGAGGCACAACAATCAATTCTGATGCTTATTGTGACCTTGAGAAAACTCCGCTGTACCATACAAAACAAGCGGCATGGCCTAATGTCTTCCGGCGGCAGATTTCTTTTGAAGTCAGAATTTAAAAAATTTTTGAGTGGTATGACAAATGTTTGAACAAAAATGGATGTTATGTAGAAAAGTAGATAAAAGTATGTAGAATATGGGAAAAAATATATTTTAATATTTACAGTATTTTTCTTCTTATTAAAAAACGGATCTTATTTAAAAAATAGCCCTCGTAAATGTACATTTAGTTACTAAGACCATTGTTTTTATCACCTTCTCCCAACTCAACCTCACTAATCCCTCCACCCCGTCAAAAGCCAGGCATAAGCAGCTAGTATATTAATAGAAGTGTTCCATTCAAATTTTAATATTTAGTACTATTTAGTACTGTATTCTAAATGGAGGTTTTTATTTTCAAATTTCAACATTAAAATTAACATCATTTTCTTTCCAATTGCATTTTGCTATTAAATTTTCAATCCATTTTTTTCGATTGAAAATGTAATCATCTACTTACAGAATAAGCAGTTGATTAAATAACTTCAGTCACAATTATGTTAATATGATAGAAGTTTAGAAAAACTTCTCATTTTGAAAACTTGTTTTAAGATAGAACACTATTATGAATTTGTTTTGTTTTAAAGTTTTATCTTTTAATTAATTATAATTTCAAAATAGAATATGAAAGTATTTTATTTTGTTCCAATTAAATTTTCAAACGTGAATAAATCTGATCAATTTTCATAAAATCATTTCAAATTTCGTTTAGGATTTGGAAAAGGACAATTGAATTAAAATGTAAATAGATACTTGTAATATTTTGATAAAATATATTGACAGTAAATTCGTAGCTTATATAACATTAAATATGAAGGAATTTTTTTTATTTTCAGGATCTTGGATTGTGTCATTTTTTGATGGAAACAATCATTTTCATTCAAGACAGCAAAATTTTTGTCAGATAATTGGAACTATTGTAACAAATTTTTATAGTACATTTATAGCTAACAGACCTGTTAACAAATTGAGAAGTATATTTAAATATACAATAGTAATTAATGCATTACATCTGGATCAAAATGTACCTGTGACAAGTAACAGAAAGAGAACGCTTACTATAAAATCAGTTGCTAGAAATAATATATCTGCATTTATAAAAAACTGTAATATTTTGAAAACTTTTTATAAAGATACTTCTGTATTTTTCCAAGTTAATACTTGCAATATGTCAAACAGTTCTGAAGGTGCTGGAAAGTATAAATGGATTGTTTATGAAAATGATTATCTCATTGCCTATCTACATTCTTTTCCATATACAACTGGGGTCACTGTAGTAGAAATAAAGAATAAACCTGACTTTCATATTTTTGCACTTCCAATACAAGAATTTGTTAAAATAATGTTGGATATTCAACATGTATCTAATCTTCTTTGTGATCGACTCGATGTACAACGGTGTGCATTGATTGCGGAACCACAGGATGGTCAGCCAACAAAAATTCTTCTAATTCCGCTTCACGGTCTCTCCGATGCCTGGAAACCATGCATCTGTTCAGAACCTGAGTTTAATTCTTGCTATCCAGGTTACTGTACTTCTAAAAATGGACCTAGAGCTTCTGATGACGAACTGAACAAAATTCAAAATAAAATAAGAAATAAATTAGATTCGCAGGAATTAAATTTTAAATTTTATGGAGATGCAAACGATGACAATCTTTTTGCAAAAATTGTAAGAGGTGACGAGAAAGCCCAGTGGAGAGTATGGGAAGATGAAGATCACGTTGCTTTCCTAACTCCATTTCCAAATACACCTGGTTTCACAGTTTTAGTTCCAAGAAAACATTTGGACAGTAATATTTTTGCATTAGATAAACCGGATTTTGAAAAGTTAATGGTAGCAACTCACAAAGTTTCTAATTTATTGATGAAGGCTCTGGAAATTAAGTCATGTGCTATGATATTTGAAGGATACGAAATAGATTATGCTCATGTGAAATTGATTCCAATTCTACATGACGTAACAATGATAAAGAAACCAAAAGAAGTTGAATTTAATATTAATTATGTTGGCTTTGTTACAAGTCTGAATGGTCCAAAAGCAAATTATGATGATTTGAATTCAATTCATCATAAAATTACAACTTCAGATAATGTAAATTCTTAAAAATTTTGAAAATTTACAAACATTTATAAAAAATATAATTTTATAAGTGTTATTAAAGCAATTTTCATCGAGGAGAGTGTTTTTTATTTTTTTCTTCCTTAAAGTGGAAACTAAGGGTGTGTTTGGAAATTGTTATTGGTAACTGCCAGCAGTTGGAAATTGTAACTGGTATTACTGGTAACTGCCAGCAGTTACCAGTAATACCAGTTACAATTTCCAAACGCATCCTAAGACAGCCTTTTTTTCCCATCACATCCATTATGGGTTTGGTCAGGCTCACAATGAGAGTGCCCAGACCGTAAGGGATGAGGGTCAGACATATCCAGGATTGACTGCCTGTGAAAAATTCCTGGGATTTCTCACCTGAATTCAGTCTCAGCTCTGAGTGGTAGGCTGATATCCTAACTACTTCATCCATTGGAGGATTTTTTTTCAAGAATGAATTTAATTGGTTCTAAAAATAGATGTAGCTGAAAAAAACTTTTTTTTAATAAAATTAGTAGTTGATTTCCCAGAAGTATTTCTTGTATTTGTTAAGAGAAATGCAAGAATTATCAGTTATAAATAATAATTCAATAACTATCTGAAGATGGATACAATAATCAACGGCAATAATGTTTTGAAAACTGTTTACATTCCGGATGATATTAAATTGATTCTATTTTATTATTATAAGATGTTTGGGTTGAGTCATAAATTCGTTCTAATTGAAGGTAAGTGTAATTGTAATTCAAATACCTGCCAGATGATGTTTCAAAACGTTTTATTAGAGGTTGCGGCCGATGTTTTCAGCCCAAAACGTGAACGGCGGACCGTCGAGCGCCGTCATCTGGCAATTCTGGACGGTCGATAATGGCGGTCGCTACGTCTAGCATGGCGAGTAGACGATCGGCTTAAACTTCATTTTTTTTGTGTGTTTGGGGGTTAAAATTATGATTATTTAGCATTTACGAATAATATTGTAAAGAAACAGACGATTTTAATCCAGAAATTAATTATTCAATTTTTTAGCAAGTGATGCGAAGTGCCTATACAATTTACATATATTTGTCTTCATAATAACTTATCTTAAGGAGGTTTGTTCTTCCACGGCATCATCTACCAACAACAGCGTAATACCCCGTTCGCACCGAGATTTCGATCTAGATTGTGACTAAGGTCGGAGACTGTGGTGCAAACGCTCTCGACCGTTTCAATCGCGAGAGAGATCCCACAATCCCACGCGCGCGAGAAAATACAGGATGGCTGCGGAACACATGTCGGGCTATCTGACAGAAATAAAAAAGACATCTGGAGAGACGACGACATCTGTCTATTATTATATGTATGGCAAGAAAAAGTATTTATTTCTAACCAAAACTTCCATTTTGTTTGTTGGTGTTTGTGACTTACCGCGTAGTTACGTCAGTTTTATGATCGCGTGTAATAGCAAGATTCTTCTCGAGCGGACTGCCTGTGCGAACAGCACGACGTTCGACTAGAGACAGTCACAATCCAGATTGTAGGTAAATCGAGATCGAAGTGAGTCATGGATTGTGTGCGAACGTAGTATAATACGTTGTAAATTTCCTAAACTAATTTTCCGAGCCGCTTTCGAATTTACATAAACCACCACTACTCTCGACAAAAGTATGAGATGGTCCGATCGTACGGTAGGAGACACCACGCTAATTAAAAATAAGTGTTATTAAACATCCTATAAATACTTTAAAATAGTTTAATTTGTTTATTAACCTTAGCTAGTAACATTCGTCGTCGTTAAACATTTCCGCCATTTTTCAACAATATCCTATGAGTCAGTGCGCGACGTGAACGTGTGGCGCACTGACTCATAGGAGTTCAAACGTCAAACATGTACTTCTGCTTGCCGTACAACTTTAACGTTTGAACTTCGGCCGCAACCTCTCTATTATTTAACAAGTAATGTCTAAATCTAAATTTTAAAGCTGAAATGTCAAGAATGTTATAAAACAATGTTTTTGATGGAATTGGAATGTGCGTATAAGCTACAGCCCCTGAACAAAAGCATGGAATATTTTGTAATTGCTGCAGAAAAATTATTTTGGTCCTTAAATAATCAAACTCGAAAATAATAATGAACTTTTAATAACTGGTAAATATAATTGACATTAGAGTATTTACATACCAAACGTCATAGATATTTGCATAAATTACAACAGCATTTTAAACAAAGTAAGAGTTGAACAAAAGTATGGAATATTGATAGTTACATTAAAAAATATTGAATTTAAACATGCTAAAATGAATATTACTCTTGTAAATAAATTTTATGACGTCATAAATATAATGAATACTTCATTGTAATGACATCATCAAATTTATTTACAAGAGGACATGAAGTGGGTCATGTACCCAATTTCGGGCTATAAAGACCAGCAGCAGGCTAGGCTGCAAATGAGTTCGGTCGTGGGTTCGTGCTCCAGGTTTTCTCCATGTCTGTAACGCCTGAATAGGGGCCATTTTCCCTTAAAAGACCTCCCATAAGGCATCATTTCTCCGCACATGTATGGCCATTCCATCACACAGCAGGCTAATCGGACGCATGCGTCCATATCACGTTCACTCGGAGTCATGGTGTACTGTACATGAGCCCCATACTCCATATTAACTAAGAAAGAAACGAGGCTGCAAATGCTATCAGCCAAACTTTTGAAGAAAAAATGCCTCAGAGCTGAATACCATCAGTTGTTCGAAGGGAGAGAAGGGACCCCCGTCTCACTTGAAGTGCACCGTGGACCACCGCCACATACCTTAGACGACATGTGCGCCTCAGTGGACAGAGCTTGGCAAGACATACCTCAAGCAACCATTAATTGCATCATTGATAGTATGTCTCACCGTATAGCTGCCCATGGGGCCATATTCATTACTGAATAAACAGCTGTCTATTGCATTTCTTTGTTTCTCCTTTTAATCATTCACTTATGTCTTTCACCTCTACCGGCCCTGCAATATATATGTGGCTACGCACATTTCTTTATGGTGTTGAGATTTCACTTTTGATAGGTGTAGTAGCTACCTTGCCAAATTTTGTTTCTTAATTATTACCCCATCCTGAGACTTCAATGAAATACACACATACACGGAACTTTTTTGTATTTGTTTGGGTTCGGTCGAAGTCTCAAAACGTGGAGATTTAAAAAAAAAAAAAAAAAAAGACTCGGAGATTATCACCCTGACTACTTGTTTTACTAGTTATATTAATTAATGTTAAAAATAATTGAATTGGTAACTCAAGGTGACTACTTTAGAACTGCAAGAGTACAGGCAGTTTGTACGTAGTACTTCGTCTGTTCATTGTAATAAATTAATAATACTTGATGCTACAACTCGAACTGAAACTAAAATTTCCTGAAGTAGGAAATATTGCAGTGCGTCACAATGCAAAAGTAAAGCGATTCCGGAAAAAACAAGATTGCAAGTTTTCCAAAAATAAGCAAAAACTACTGAAATGGAAACAAAATTAAAAGTTGACAAAAAGTTTCAAAGTATATACTAGTATTTTTTTTTCTAACTCTTTCAGCCGTGTGGGCACTAAGAGGGCCTCTTTTCAGCGGACCCATTGTGGGTTCGGCCAGTTCCACAATGGAGCGGCCGCGTGGAGGGACGGATCCAAACATATCCGATAGGATCACCCCCTGAAAAATTCCTGAGGATTTATCGACCCAGTCCGGATTCGATCCCGGGTCCCCAGCGCGGTAGACTTCCACCTTAATTGCTCGGCCATTCGCCCATCAACGTTTAATAGTTTCTAAATATTGGGAACAACTTTCTTAAGAATATTTCCAAGCCTTTCTCACACAAAGGAAAAAGAATTGGGGCGTTGGGTATACGTTTAAGAAACTAAGGGGGCGGGGGCTCGAAGTTCGGAAATCACCGATCTAGATTCTAGAATATATGGGCCGCGGAGTGACAATGGCATCATTGTAATGATTTCAATACAAAGGGCAAGAAAGAGTATGTTGTAAGACTTTGCTGCTTTACTTTAACATTATTTTTCTATCTGAAATTCTATATCTTTGTATAAATTACATTACTGTATTATTAGGCTTACCATAATATTTTTTCCTCAAACCGGGACAATTTTGAGAAAATACAACAGAAAATAAAACCTACCAGGATAAATACCTATGATTGAAATGGCTAAATAAAGAAGTTGTTAACAAAAACTAACAATGAGTAAAAGCAATTTTTAATAACTCAATCGAACATACCTTATTATTAAGAAGTTATTATTATTTATCGCTAGTGTGAACTTTATTTAAAAATTCTATGTTATTTTTAATGCAATTTAAATCGGTGCATTTAATTAAAATATGACAATATATTTGAGGAAGTTCCTACCGCTGCTACTAGGCTTGCCTTGTGTTTAACACACTTCAAGTGATTGTAATGTCCGCGTGTTACTGAAAATTCTGAAAAGCACAGTTCACGTTTCACTGTGTCAATACGATAACAAACATTTTTCAAAAATGGATAATTTTTTTTAATTCATCAGTAAATACAAGGTTTCTTTTTGGCATTTTGGAGATTAAATTAATTTAATGCAGAGTACAAAATAATCGCAAATGCCCACTAGCAATTTGAACTCGACTAATATAAGACACTGACAATGACGTGCCAGTGTAAGTTTCAGTTTTGCTAATTCTAATTGAAACAAAATATGTAAAAATTAAAGTAAAAACATCTGGATCTCATAGACTACATGCTATTATAAATTCTGTGAAAAAATAAAACATCTAAATTCATTAGGCCACATGCTTTAAATTTTGGGGGAAACATCTAGACAACATTAAAAGTACTTAGATCTAGATACAAAATATTTAGATTGACAACAGTGAGTGTAACAGGTGGATATTTTAGCTGCCAAAACGCCATTTTACCAGAGGCTTCGCTATCGGTTTCTTGTTAAATTCAGCGCTGCTGCTGAAGTTATATTAACACCGCACACAGAGCAGCGATGCAAATTGAAAAATGGCGGATCTCGTTGCAACTGTTAAATTGTTTTGCGAATTATTTAATTCGAAACATTTTAAAAGTAATTCATTTTTGCGATATAAGACTTTGTTTGAGACGTAAAATTAACGATTTAAATTTAAAAATTAGAAGAAACTATACACGTTTTCATTACGTCCTTTAACACTATAGGGAACACAGCTGGTTTTTCTCAGTCAAATCAACCTTTAAATTAATAAAGACTCGACTTCACCCCTTTCTTCTACTTTTTAAATAATACATTTTCTTATATCATATAAATTTTCCATGTTAATTAATTAATATTGTCCCCATTTTAAAAAATACTGTTACGTGAAGATTTTATTATCGTTCTAGCGGTTAGCTGACCTTCTTTGTAAATAATTCACAAATAAAATTCACAAAAGTGCATTTCCATAAAATTTTTAATAAAAAAAATTCAACAATTTGACAGATTAAAACAAATTTACGATTACACAAGAAAATAAAACTTTAAAAATTTTTACTTGCCTAAACTTTTATTTTATTATATAAATGGACGAAAATTATTTTAATTTACTCTTTACTTTATATTTTGAATACAAAATGGCATAATCGTCAGTAGAAAATATTTCTGAAAATATAAATAATGTTAAGCTTCAAATTTAGAATACATAGAAAAGATTAAAATTTAATTGAAAATATGATTTGTTTAAATAAAGGCTTGCAATTTTATAAGAACAGAAATAATTTTGGAATATAAAACTCTACATGCAAAATTTCTATAATTATTTTACCACAAATTATATAAAATGATGACAAATTAAAAATTAAAATAAATATAACCATCTTAGTAACTTACATATACATGCAGTATTATATTGCAATTATAAATGTAGATTTGGTAAAGGAAATCTTGGTACTTTCGGGTGTTTGAGTCATTAGGAAATTCTTGGCACTCCCATCTTGGATCGTGGGAAAAGTTTACTCTACCACCTAACAACAATGGTCCAAACCCTCCTAATTTATCTGGGGACGTCGTTTCCTATTCGTCATCGATGCTGGTCCATGCTATTGCACACCGGGCGGCTCGGGCCCATCTGTAATGGGCATAATTGTGTTCGGTCATTTAACCTACAAATTGTTGGCATGGCACTAATTA